ATAATAATCGAACAGTTAAATGTTAGAAAACAGATCAAACATTATTCACAGAAAATGGGTGCCCCATTGGACCCCTCAATCGGCGATGAACAAGCATAACCGCGGCACTGCCGAGTCAAGACTAGTAGCGAGCAGCAGACTACGCGGCGGCAAAACGCCGTGTACACGTTGCCGACAAATATTTTCTCGACCTGTACGAATTCAAAACCGCTTCGACACTTTTTTCGATAATTTCTTCTTCAGAAGTACCTACAGAATCAAACGTCGTGGTCAGTTTTCGTGTCAGGTAAGCAATTTCTTGTAAACATGCGGAAATATTGCGTAGAAAATACGTACTTCGGCATTTTTTTTAAAACCTTGACGGCCGTTTAACAGTATTTAGAAGCGTAAATTATTATAAATATTGACACTGACATACTCAAGAATCTTTCCTCTATCTTTTAGGCAAATATGATCTTTCTGACGTTTTTAGTTTTCCTACAATACTTCGTTTTCGCTATGAATCGTTTTTCTTTTCAACTGGAAGTGACAGAGCAATTCGGTCTTCGGATTCGTGTTTTTTGGAAGTGACACTCTACGAGGACCAACCAGTGGTAATTAGGAGGCAGAATAAAACTTCGGATTTGTTGAACAGTGTTATCGATCAGAGCTGTTATTTTGACAAGATTGGATTTATTATTATTATTTCCTACGATTTCTATTATAATATATGTTTTTGAATAAATAAGTTTATCTACGAATTTCTTATAGAAAGTTTTATAAGCGAAAACTTCATAGGAAATATCTTGTGATATCAGGATTGTAGAAGATCAAATCAGAAACTAATTATTGGTAGCGATTGGTAGTTTGTGTTACTGCGAATTCTGGGCGTGTTGGGTCACTTTTGAACTCTGTATATGCGCGATGTTTCCAAATGGAATTAAGTTGAACGAAGTCGCTGGTTGTTTTTATGTACACTTTAATATTACAGTACAGCTATGGTCTTAGCGATGCGTTATTTGCGTTCTATCTGCGTTCTTAGAGTTCTACGAATTCTGGGAGTTCTAACAGTTCTGGGAGTTCTAACAGTTCTGGGCTAACGTTCTAGGTGCCCTTCCGCTTGTCACCTCGGTTTTTTTGTTGATTGGTGGATGGTGGGTTTTGGTGGAGGAAATTAAGCGTTTTTGATTGGAGATGTCGGAAGGAACTTGAAATGAGGAGTGGGAAACTGTTCGAAAGTTCGGGTTGTAATTTTTCCGTTTTATGAAATATGGAATTTATGAGTCGTGTTGTCCGTTCGTCGGGTCGAAGGGTATTTTCGTTCGGATGCAGTTTTTACTGTCGCAGGTATATTGCTTAATTGCTCAAGGGATGGCCAGGGACGATCGACCTTCGGTGTTGCCGTCGCAACAAACTCATTAATTCATTAAGTGCCGAAAGTCAATTCCAAAAATTCCTACAACAATCAAAGTAATTGTATTAATGAAACTGAAATTAGAGAGTTCGAATTGATCAGTGGATGGTACTTTTTTATAACTCTTTTGCATTCTAAACATCTTAGTAAAGTTCTGACTTGTTCAAATATATTGCAATAAAAATGAGTTTTGTGAATTAGTAACAAATTAGTGCCACGCATAGGTGAAGAACGTGGCACTCAACGTGTTAATAACATTGATCTACTTGTCATCGTCGATATGATTCCATCCAGTTTGTTCAACGCATCTCGACATTAATGTCAAGGGTAATAATATCGACAAACATGAAGAAATCGTATAAAATACTGTCCTATAACAAGATCGAGGTAGTACGAATTAAATGGTTGAATTAGTATCGAACATTTGTAATAGTTTTGTTTAGTTTTGGATGTCATTTTCAGTGCCTCATAGTGCCTCATAATATTCTTCGAGTCAAATTCTATTACCTCGACTTAAATTGCAAATTTCTTTGTAGATAAACAGGTAAATACCTTATTTTGACCTTGTGGTCTAGCCATGGAAAATGGTTTCATACAATATTCACATATTTGCATTGATATCACACTAACAATTAAAAGGACAGAAGTTTTGTTTGGCACAGTGTCTTACACATAATGTCTATATTTGTTTAAATGCACACAGTGTTGTTTACCTTTTCAACTACATGTCAAGAATCAAATTAATACAGAAGTATTATTAAGCCTTATTAATCATTGGGCTAAGAAATAATCGAAAATAATTTTCAATGCATTTTGCATAAAATATTCCTAAAATACGTTAAAAATGTTTTCTACATATCGCTGCAACAATTATATAATTGAAAAAGATAAATAGTATGACTGAAAAAAGGAAAAAGGTCATCCCTAGCGGAATTCGATCCGAATTAAAAAGAGTTTTAGGTTTTCCAGACGGACACCTAATCGCCAGACCAACGCAGAACCTCTGTCTGATTGTACACACCGTGACAAAACTGTAAGACGAAAAATTCTATGTAACTTAGACAATTTTTTTTTTCACTGGTATACGTAAATCAGCGGTCTCGAGAACTGAGGCAAACAATTTAAACACGTTACTACAAGACAGTCTCTGGTAAACCGGCAAACTAAATGCTACGAAAAGAGATTTTTGTTTCCAATTGTTGTTATTAGGCGTGCAGTATTTAAAGTGATATTGCGTGTGCAATAGTTTTTGATTATAAAAAATGCCGCACGAAAAAGGACTATAATTAACGATTTAAAGAAGGAAAACTACTCAGTGCAACAAATTGCCTACATATTAGGGAGAAGTCGTGTAGTTCATAACTATTGAAAAAATAAAGAAAAATATGTTGAAAAGAACCTCCGTGGTCGTCCAAGATCAAGAACTGTGCGAGAAAGGTGACAAATTTTAAGACATGCTTCGAATCCTACAGTGACAGTAAGGCAAATAGCAGCAGAATCCGATGTCGGAACGAGTGCGAGGACAGTGCAGAGAATAATAAAGGGTTCTAAGCATTTTTTTTGAAAAGTTTAAAATGACGAAGCAACCGTCGCTAACTTATAAGCATAAACAAGCCAGATTGAAATTTGCAGAGCATCGAATATATTGGCGTAAAAAGTGGGAAAAAATGATCTTTTCTGACGAAAAAGCATTTTAATTCAGATGGACCTGATGGCCTAAATTATTATTATGTTCCTGATCTGAGAAAAGAAGAAATCGTGTAGCAAAAACGACAAATGGGTTGCAATGGTACTGTGATACTATGGAAAGACGGATATTAAATTTGTTTCTACAAAAATGAATAATAGAACGCACGTGTGGATATTGTTAATAGTTAACTATCGAAATATGCTCAAACAATATCTAGGGAAGTGTATATCAATCATAATGATAACGCAGCTGTGCATACTGCGAAAATAACACGAGGTTACTTCGAAGATAACAATATAGATATTTTGCTGTGGCCGGCAAGATCCCAGGATTTGAATTGAAAATTGTTACGGGAATGTCAGCGGAGGAAGTATACTGAAGAGGAAAGCAGTTGAACACCATAGAAGAATTGGAAAGGTGTATTGAGGATACGTGGAAGAATTTGAAGCAAAACACAATTTAAAAACTATACAAATCTTTAGCACAAAGAATGTTGGGAGTAGTTATCATTACTGCAAAACAGTATAATATTGGTCAATTTCTTTATATATTACTGCAGAAGGGATATTCTGTATATGTTCATGTACAAAAACTTTGTGCACGTCCGTGGTTTTAAGAAACACTAGAAATTCTGGAGTGTCCTTATAGTTTTCCAAAGTCGGTTTGTATAAACGGCAAACGAAAGATCCGGGTTCTAATCCCGGTCCCCCGATCTATTTGTGTTCAGTCGACTCCATTTTCTCCCACATAATAGTTCTTATCTTCAATAATTATTTATGAAATTTTAAACTGTTTTTTCATTTAATATGAATTTTATTCAATTTATGTAAATATAAAACGCGATTAATTTCGAGGGAGATTTTATGTTCCATTTAAAACATCGAAGATCATTCATGTTTCTGCAAAAATTCTGTGTGGAATTAAATATTTATATTATTATATTATATATTATATTATATTTATATTATTATATATTATTATTATTTATATTATTATTATATTTATTATTATATTTATATTTATATTATATATTATTATTTATATTATTATATATTATATTATAAAAAATGGAATTCAATATTTTCATTGTGTTTTGAAGAAACAGCTCAGAAACACTTCATTTGGTGCAGCCTGTACAGTAACGTGAGAGTAGTATAATGTAGGTAACAGTATACGCTCGGCAACTCCCCTTTACATTTCAAACTATTAGTATGATTGCGGATGTATTATAAGTTGTTTCACTTAGCCCTTTGACTGCAGAGTAATCCAGTCAGTTGCGATCTGCACGAACGGAATATTTTTCAAATGTACTCTATCGGCTTTCGATTAATAACGTGTACAACGTACAATTAAGTTGTGACCATAATTCGTGAGTTACGCCATATTCGATCATATAAAAAGATGTATTTTTACGTCTGATTTATTACATCTGGTTGATGCAAGTAACTTCAATTTCGTCAGACGCATATATGAATCCATAACTATCGAAGAGAAATGGAACATTAAACATCTTTCAACTCTGCATCGAAAATTTTTAATCAGATCTCTTTATCCGATATTAATGATTGTAAAATTGACGTTAAATTATTGCAAGATTTAATGCTGACGAAACTAATGGCTTAGGGTTGCAATTATACTGCGAATTTAACGCGTTTACGATCAAAATGTCTAGATAAGATATCAAAGTGTAATCACGTTAAAGATATTTAAGAACACTGCCTCTTTCTCTTCAATTTTCTAAATTTATTCAAAGAAGAAATACATTGTTGTTTAATTTCCATTTCATACAAACGAGTCGCAAACTTTTTATTTGGCGCGAAGATCCGCGGTCTGGTTGCGATAATCTGCAGTGTTTTATAACGATGTCGATCTCAGTTGCATTTGTTTCACGACTGCTAGTGATTTTATCGACGACTCAAATCTGTGCAAGATAAAAATAATCGATAAATTAATTTCCTTCGTTATCAAAATTTCGAACTGTTCTGCACTGTGCTGAAACTGTGTGTATTATGGAATATATAACAACTTACGAGCGTTACATTGGAATTTGTTCAACCTTGTAAATAATATTCCACTTCTTTTTATCGCGACACCAATCTGAGATAAGGGTGCTTTACTCAATAATACGTTCGAAATGTATACAGAATCTGTTTCGCGTATTAAATCGTATTATGAATCAGTCGTTTGGTGGAGAAATATCACATGCACCAAAATGTCACTCGAAAGAATCGATTTCAAAATTTCCATTGTAGCGTTGAGCGATGAAATGTTATGCAATTAAATCCAATTTTTTTTTAACACGTTGAGCGCCGCGTTGACCACATACGGGTGACACTAATTTTTGACCAATTTTGAGAATTCATTTTCATTGTAACATATTTGAACAATCACAATTTAATTAGGATGCCTCGGATACGAAAGCGTTCTACTGTCATCCACTATGATCAATTTTAACTTCCTAGTTTCGGTTTCATCGATTAAATTGTTTCGACGTTATGGGGATTTTAGGGGTTGTTTTTCGGCGCTTAACGTGTTAAAGGAGATCGTGCAATTTTAAGAGATGTAACATATAATAATAAGAAACTGTTTTTGCATCGGATTCCCGAAAGCAATCGAGGATTGTAGAATTTACTCGATCACCGTCAAATGCCTCTCTCGTGACACTAATTTTCACAGTAATTCGTCGCTAATGAAACTTCGTTTATCTTTACCTCTGTGCCGAAGTGAGGTATACAACTTTGTGTTCCAAGATATTTCGATTTCTTCGATTCTTCCGACAGAAAAATCAATGTTCCTTTTCCCGGATTGTCTTCTCTCCTGACAGATTCAACACTTTCCACGCATTCCATATTCCTTCGCTGACACAAAATCCACAACGAAAGGATAATATGTCACGACGACACACGGCCGCCGAGTGACTGGCAAACGACTCTCGAGCAAACTACGCAACGAAACAGCACATCTAGCTAATGTAAACAATGCAAAAGTAACGTGCCCTGCAAGCCTATGTGCCCTTTTTCATCAATGGCCTCTTCCATCGGCGAAGCATATGGTACCGGTTAATAACGCTTTGAACAGGAAAGCTCCGAACAATTTCAACGACAATCGACACCTTTCGAAATAAAAAAAAATAGACGATGAAAAACACATTCCGAATTTACATTATTTTGCCGACTCTTTCGATGACAATAAATGATAAACGATAATAATAACGGTGTAAACGTATCTATACGATTATTAGTTCGCTGGATTTCTATTGTTTTGTTCAAGTAGAACAAACGTTGTACTATATTTCGTCACTATTTAACAACGCGTAGAACAAAAACAAGAAGCTAACACGGACTCGATAAAAAGCCACGTCACCCTCGAAATTTACAAATAAAAACGTAAAGAATTGTCCGCTAATTTGTGTGAAAATTCTGTTTCAATGTCGCAATCTGTGCAAAGATAAGCTACCGAATTGTACACGCGAAAATATAGAACAGCACGACTCACCTCTTCCTGATAATAATTGTCACACATGCCAGCGAGACCTTCCTCGTTAACCGATATCCAATGATTGAAAGATCTGGCCAATGTAAGTATAAGCATCTCCACCCGACGTCTTATCACGTTGGAACTGTTTTGTGTTGTTATCGTCGCTTATTATTGCTAAAACGCGTGGGAGTGATTTTTACCGCATTATCATATTTAACCCTCATGGGAAGTGTTCCGGGCCGAACGATGGAAGCGTTTCGGCGCATAGTTGGCGAATAGCTTGCCGGACCCTTGAAAATAATTTGCTGGATTTCCGTGGAGCCGTTGTTACGAATGGGTTTCATGCGACCCGATTTCGGTTCCCAGCGAATCACGAAAGTCGCGATCACGTTCGCCAGGTTTTCAGGTTTTTAGGTCTGCCGGCTTGGCTGGACAGCGATCATGCGACTGTCACACTCGTAGCACGTTCTTCTTCGGACTTCTAACCAAAGTTGTTTGTGCGTAGCTCGTTTTCGTGTTCCCACGGTTTTTCCTTAATCTAAGCCGCACGACTTTTGCTTTCAAAATGAGTCACGACCGACTTCGTTTCGCGAAATCGATATTTTGTCGATTAGATACGTGATATCGCACGATTCGCGCAAAAACGCAACTTTGTCGCCGCGCTCTTTAGCATCTCGACGAAACGCAGATCGGTTCCCGAGGAAGACTTTCCCCTGGAAAGAGCTCTGTATCGCGTGTGCTTCCTATCGAATGCTATCCGAGCTCGGGTGCCCTATTTACCGGCGGAACTGGGTGACCGGGGGTGGTTTTTCGATTTCGACACTGTTCAACGTCAGGAGGGCCGCGACTCCACGCGGTTCGAACGAGCTACACCGTTCGTCCGATGCATTTTATTGGGGAAACAACCCGGATATGGTTTCTGTTGTAGGCGCGGTAAGGCTGGCTGCTCGAACCTGCCGTCCCATTTCTGTGCCGCCCAAACAGGTCAGATTTGACGCACTCCCGCGTCATCAGTTCCGTTATTGGACTATCGCACGAAATGCGGCGCTGGAGGGTCGTGGACACCTCGAGGACGATGCGCCGGGTTCCCTTCGGAGTTTCACAGGGCCGTGGCACGCCACGAGGTTCGCGAAACAGCGACCGGATGCATCGTCGAGCATGCAAGATTTTCGGTACCACCAACAGCATTCACCATTGTCACATGTCTCACAATTGCCGGCGCACCTTCGCGACGTTCCTCCGCTCGGCGGACGCGTCAGCTTGCTGGTTTCGCGGTATCTGCTCGCCGAGATTCGAACGACGACGCGGCCAATTCAATTCGGCGATAAGACAACGATGGACCATCCGGTCGTATTTGGGCGAGTTCGAGCGTCGAGCCGACGGACCGCGGGACCCAGCACCGGACGACAGGGAACTTTTATCAGGCTTTCTTCCCTCGTGTTGTCCGCGTAGCCACGTGGGTACCGGACATTTCCGATCCCCGGAAGACGTTCGAGGCGTTGCCGTAGCCGGGATTCAAGTGAAATGCATACATGCCCGCTGGCAGCGAGGAAACGAGAGGAGAGACGAGAATCTGGTCGATAGGCGTGCGCTCGCGCACCTCCGCGACGTGTCGGGGGAGTTAAGTGCAATTGGCGTTTTCCTCTCGGCGTGGTCCAGAAGCAAAACATATACTGTCTGTCAGTGATCGGGCTCTTGCTAAACTGTTCCATGCTTTTATCGCGAGGACGGTGTTTGTTGTCCCAGAGAATAGACGGGGGGATAATGACAGGCAGGGGGTGGCTGGATGAAAGGGTCATTTTCGTTTCGCAAACGGAACCGCCGAAATCGTTTTTTTCGAAAAGAGTACCTAACATTGGAAAACTTTGACGGTTTTTTTCGATACGGAGCCTGGCTTTTGAGAGAAATAAATTCTTAGTTTCCCAGTTCTGTTACAGTTGAGGGGCGACGCTACAGTAGCAGCTGAAAAATAAAGCGTTTCTTTAACTATTTAGTTTAGGCAGATATGTAACTAAATGGGAAATTCACTTGTGAGACATTTTTATGTATATTTTAAAGAATTGCAAAAGAAATTTTGTTTGATTTCTTCCTTTTTTGGAGATATCGCTGGCAAAGCAGTCGATGCGCAGCATGTGTCTTCTTTCGGGGCTTGCAAATCAAAAGACAACTGAACGTTGAAATGCTCAAAATCCTGTAAGCTGTATTTTTTTTTCGATTATGTTTCTTAACAGATATAGAATTTTAAGCACATTGCACTTGATTAAATTCTTATAGCGATTTAATGATGATAGACAAAAAGATTTTGTACTATTATGTTTTCTTATTTTTGCGAAGATAAAAACATTATAAATTAAAGAATGATGCAGAGATAATTTAGAATATTTTGTGATCCAGAATCTCCAATGTAATGAAAAAGGACCGTTGATTTGTATTATAAAGTATCACAAAGTATACAAATAAAACTGATACATGTCTTTAAAATATATTGTTTATTGTAATTAATTAAAATTACATCAGTAATGTTTAAGATACGATAATATATTTCCATGAAAAGGTGGTTGTATTATGAATACAACAGCATTCGTATTAAAATGATAATAACAAATTAATTTACGATTAGTATGATTGATTTTGGTGATCAATAAATTTGTTGGTTAGACAACCAACAAATAGTTAATGAAACATTTTTTACGTTTACATGGGAAAAAACGTAT